ACGATCTTCGTCATGCATGGATTCCTCTGCACTGCCACAGTGTGAACACGACGATCACGTCGGTGAGGTTCGGCGGAAGTTAATCACCCAGACAGACGTGCAAAACGAGAATGAATCTTCGGCTCGAACATGGAAAGATACACTGTCATATTTTTTGTCGTTGTCGGTGAGGTTCGGCGCAAGTTAATCACCCACACGTCCAAAATGAGAATGAATCTTTCGCTCGAACATGGAGAGATACACTGGCTTTTTTTTCTTTTTTTTTTTGGGGGGGGGGGCAACACAAGCTGGGAACCGGGCCCAGCGTCCCTTATAATTCGCGCTTTGGGGTCGGGGTCCCCACATTCTGCCCGGAAAAACCAGTCAGGCATTATCCGGTTTCTCATATGTGGATCTATCTGATCAAGCATAAAGGGAGAACAGATAGATCCACATATAAGAAACCGGATAGGAATAGGAAGTTTTTTCGAACGGGTCGGCGGAGGATGTGTTAGCGGTGCGCTAAAGTGGAGGCGGCGGAGGTGAAGGGCCGCGGCACCCGGTCCGTGCTTTGGCACGGACCGGTGGTACGGGAGTACCGTGATGGCGAGGGGCTGGGCGTCGTCTTCGTCACTTTCGAGGAAATCCCTTTTGGGCGGCATTTTTTATGGGCTATATTCAGAAGCATAGTCAGGGCGGTAATTGAGTTCCGGGGCCTGAATCACCCCCCCCCCCCACTTTGGCACGGAGCTCTCGCGGATCGTCTCTCAACGCGTTGACCTTAGGAGGATTGGTCAAAGGAGCTCGTAACCATGGTTCTTCGACGAAGGAGCATCTGTATATCCGGTCTACCGAACACGACTTCAGCACTATGCGGTCGGTGGCTGTTCGCTATCTATGATTGAAGGTATACCTCACTCTCATACTGTTTGGGGGTGGGAGAAACTGTGTTTTGCCCAGTTTAATTTGATGCCTCAACAATTGTCAATTGAATAGGGTTAGTTACTTCTATTTGTCGGTTGCGTGGCGATCTATCTATTTGGTCTTAGCTAAGGCTATTGACACACCTTACTTATTTGAAGGTTTTGTTTAAACATATTATTTATTTCCTTCTCCTCCGTCGGAGGTGGGCGAAGAGTCGTGACGAGGAATGGGGGACCCAAGGAATCATGCTCCTTTGAACCCCCCTCCAGCTCCGCCTCCTCCCCCCCCTCCTCCGGAAAACGCTGAGTCACCTCTTTCAGATTCGGAAAAACAGCGAATCAGGGGTATACTCAAATCCTGCTACTTGGATGTGATTCTTCCCAAAAGAATTTCTCAGAACACTGTGGAAGTTGGGGAGGACTACGTCAGAGTTGTTATCAACCCGGAGGTCTATAAACTCCAAGTGGAATAGCTTAAGGAACATGCCTTAACCATCCTCTTCGGTGACGAGACAACGTCCTTACCAGTGGATGTTAAAAAACGGCTGATACGCATCTATGAAGATGGATGGGTCACCAACCGTGCGATTAGTGCACCTCCCAAACGCGGTTTATTCCACAATGAATGTCGTAATCTGGTAACCTATGTTGCTTCTTCTAGTCAAATTGCAACATTCATGTTGAGAAAGAAATGTGAAAAAATAGTGCTGGATGGAAAATCCTACTCTGTCACGTTTCGACCGTGGATGTCGGATTATGAGCTCTATGAATGGAGGGAAGCAATGCATTTTCAATTTTTTTGGGTCAGGTGCATGCAAGTCCCCATCTCGGCTCTCCCACAGTTAGAGTCGGCAGTGGCAGACGCTTTCGAATCGGTGCTGAAAGCGCATCCGGCCTTTAAGGAACCAGGCAAGCCGGAATTATTGAATGTCCGGTTTGACTTAGTGTTGTCCGCAGGAATGCGGTATAAACCATGTTTGATGATTGACCACCTAGATGATGGTTATGCTGAAATTGATGTCATCTGTGCTGATACCCCCTGGTGCGAGAATTGCAGAAGATACTTCCATAAGTCAGCTGATTGCCCTTCTAAGCGTCAACCTGACCGTTCGGCGTCGAATGGGCCCAGTAAGGACCAATCTCGCAGTAGAAGTAAAAGTAAGAAGTCCGAAAATACTGATAAGAGCTCTGGCGCCGAAAAGGGGGACAAGGGCAGAATCGCACAGGGGGACAACCAGCTGAATGAGAAGGAGAAGGGAAGAGTTCTGGACAAACGGGCAGAGAAATTCAAGCCACCTCACCCGCCTCCCCCTCAGGAGCAGGGTGGAGGAAGGGCAATTGTGGTCTGGAAAAAGAAGGACCCGAACCCTTCAGAACGTAGAAAGGGACTCCACTACTCCCCCCATAAGGAGCCAATGACAAAAATGTCTGCTATAGAGAAGGAAAAAGGTAGTGAGCACGAAACGAAGGCAGGGCTTGATGGAACGATTAACCCCCCGCCGGAAAACCAGACTCACCAGAAACCAGATGTAGGGACGAAGGATGTGGAGATGACCAGTGAAGGGGAGAATATCAACATGGGAAATGGTGAGGAACTTGTGGACAAAGGGAAAGAAGATTTTGAGGATATGGAGGACTCAGAGAAAGATGACGATGGATCAGAGGAGGAGGAGGAGGAAGAAGAGGAGCAGGAAGACGAGGAAGTCGAGGAAGAAGAGGAGGAAGAGAAGGATAAAGACCAGGGGAACCACGAAAGTGACGGGGAGGAGAACGGAGACGAGGAAAACGAAGAGGAGGATAAGGAGAGACTGAGCAGGGGTGGAAGGGGGGACAAGGACGAGTACGGTAAGGACGGTAGGGAAGAGGAAGAAGAAAGAGAGGCAGGGTGTGGGGATAGTAGGCTGATTGGTCACGGGGAAGATGATATTGAGCCGGTACATACGGTAATTGGAGGAAATGAGGAAGAAGAAAAGCGTGGGAATGATGATGGTGAGGGCTCGGCCCCCTCCCCCCTCAGGGGTCACAACCCTCCCCCCCGGAAAACTTCACAGTCTATAATAATACTTCCTTTCTTCCGTCGGATACAAACCAGTCGGGTGGTCCCGTTTCTGAAAAAAAAAAAGTGGTCGTGGACAGTTCATGGAAACTGGCCGCCATTTTTCCTTTTCAGAATGTGGGCAACCAACAACTACTGGGCTCCTTTGGTTTAGCCCAGGCCTGTGACTTCTCCCCGGCCAAAAATGCAAAACGCAATGATACGTCTGCCGGATTAGCTTCGGGTGAGGATCCAGACAACCCTCCTCGTAACCAGCTATCTGAGAAGGATATGGAGGGGCGCAAGAGGCCGAGGTCACATAGTCGTGCCAGAAGGGAACTGTCGCTGTCGGGTCCTATGCAGACAGTTACCAAAACAGATAAGACAAAAGGTCCTATCAGGCAGTTTGTCATCCCTCTGATCATCTCAGAGTCAGCAGTTGGACCAGTCCTTCTAACTAGAATCACGAATAATGATGGTCTAGAAATTCCGTCTATTTCTGTAACCCCCCCCCCCCCCGGACGAGGAGGCAGTGGAGTTGGCTAAGAGGCAAGTGCTGAATCACACGGGCTCAGTGGCAGTGCTACCTTCTTTCAAAATCAACCGGTACTTGTCTCAGAAGCAGCAACTCCCCCCGGTAGTTTTCCATATGGCCCTGATGGGCATCCGTTCCATCTGCGAATCCTTTGATAAATGGAGTGATCTCAGGGTGCATTGGATACCACTCCAGGACTTTCTGTCGGGCAATGTGGAATCGATAGATAAACTGCATTTGCCCGCGGAGAGAACAGGGGTAGTCATCCTCGAATGGATGCGACATACGAATGGGATTGACAAGCTCTCTGGAGCTCGCCTATCCCAGAACCTTATGATGGTCAGTCATTCGGGAAAGGGCGCAAAGGAAATAAAAAGACCGCAGATCCACCTCAAGGATCAGAGCCAGATCCAAGCTACCGGTATGACCATTGTAGATGGTTCTACCGCCTAAACTACGGTTGGCATCTTGGAATATCCGTGGTTTAGGCGACACCTCTCACAGATTCAAAAAATCTAGACTGAGATCCTGGGTGCATTCGAATAACGTACATATCTTGGGCATCCAAGAAACTAAGTTAAGTACAGGGAAATTACAGGCCTTGAGGACATATTGGGAAGGCCCGCAAATTTGGTCGCCTGCTGATGGGACCAAGGGCGAGGTGGCAGTATCAATTAACAAGGACCTGGAGGCAGAAGTACTAGACTCTTATGCTGACTCGACTGGGAGAATTGCTTGGATTAAGATACTTCTTGGGGATGAAGAGTGGGGCCTGGCTTCAGTTTATGCTCCGGCTGAATTAAATGACCGTATAGACTTTCTGGCCGACCTCCCTGCCTTCTTACCCGACACGGAAAACCTGGTTATACTAGGGCACCTTAATACTATATTAATATCAGGACTAGATTCCTTGTCAGTCTTTCCCCCCAGACACGACGCGGGTATCTTAAGTTCTTTATTGGATGCTTATTCACTGACAGACGTGTTCCGTACTTTAAACCCTGAGTTAAATGGCTATTCCAGGTATGGGGTGAAGCCATCAGACAATACTCCAAGCCCTAGGAGCAGACTCGATTTCATCCTAGCACGTGGCTCCCCATGGAACACCTGTTTTTGGTGTGATGTACTACCAGGGATAGAATCACTTTCGGACCATCACCCAGTGGTGATGGACGTAGTCTCTGCAGAAGTCATTCAGAGAGAGAGACCCCGATTTAGATTGAATGTGAATATGCTTAAAGATGAGAGAATTAAGCAGTAGGTAACAGACCAAATGACAGTTTGGAACACTATGAAAGACTTATTTGAGGACCTGCTGGAATGGGCGGAAGTAGGAATCAACATAATTAGGGAAGCTCTTATGAATTTCTCTAGAATGAAAGCTGCGAACCAAACGTGGCAGGAGCTAAAGCTCAAAAAAGAGGTGAGTCTGGCGGAAAGCCAAATGGGATTAGACCCATTTTCGGACTTCCTGTGGACTGAGAAGAGGAAATCTGCATTGATGGAGCTAGAAAAGTTGGAAGTCGAGAAGCAGCCGGAATGGATGGAGTGGCGAAAGATCCGTGGTATAATTGGATACGATCGGATGACGAAGCTATCTTTTAGATCGTTAATTTTGCGGCAGGCGAAACCACTGATAAGAGAGCTTCGTCACCCTTTCTCAATAGACCAGGCTCCTGCTTCAGATATGGCATCCATGTGTGCATACGCCTTTGACTATTTTAAGGATATAGTGTCTACCCGACGCCCATTTGACACTTCGGACACTGATCTTTCAGTTTCCAGCCATTTCTGGGACAGGACCACAATCAGACTTCCACACTCAGCGGTTCTGTCACTAGATGAACCGTTCACGGTGGCTGAATTGGGTAAGGCGGTGAAGCAAATGGCTCTGGGCAAATGCCCATGCCTCGATAGTCTACCCGTTGAGCTTTATTTAGCCTGCTGGCCAGCCTTTGTCCTTTCCTCTGTGATATATTTAACAATGTCAGGGCAACAGGCAGATTACCGGGGGACCTATTGAAAGGGGTCATTTCACTGTTGTATAAAAAGGGTGATAAGGCCGAAGTCAAAAACTACAGACCAATATCGGTTTTAAATGTATCTTATAAAATATTGGCCAAAGCCTATGCCAGCAGGCTAGCGGACATACTCCCCCTCCTGGTCGGACCGGAACAAAGGGCTTTTGTTCAGGGTAGATCGATATTTGAAAATATAATGTCTACCCTCCAAGCCCTGGAAATAATATCTAGAGAAAGGAGGGAAGTGGCCGTCCTCCTCCTGGACATGGAAAAAGCTTACGACAAGGTGGGCTGGACCTTTGTCCTAACCACCTTATCGAGGATGGGCTTCGGCCCCCACTTCTGTAATAATGTCAAGGCAATGTACTCTCAGGCGCGGACTTCGGTTATTATAAATGGGCGCCTGTCGGAGGATTTCCAGCTGTCGCGCTCGCTGCACCAGGGCTGTCCCTGGCCCCTCTATTATTTGTGCTCCAACTAGAAGTTTTATTAGACAATATCCGTTATAATCCGAAAATTGTTGGTTTGAAAATCCCCCCTTCCATTCGTTGGAAGGGGGGAGCGATTGCTGACGACTTGACAATTGCCTGCGAGAATTCAGTCTCAGCTTTTACCGAGCTTAGGTTAGTACTAGATGAATATTGTCAGTTGTCTGAGACATCGATTAACTGGGATAAATCCACATACTTTCTTCCCACCCCCTATGAGATTTGTGCCCATTGGGGCTTGAAGCAGGTGTCGAAGGTACGTCCGAACGGTTCTTGGGTGTACAAGTGGCTCTCTCAGATTGTGCTGCAGGGCAAGACAAGATCCTTCAGGAGAAGGTCTGTGCCCGTATTACGGGCTGGATCAGAAGTCACAAGTTGTCACTATTTGGCAGGGCATTGGTTCTCTCTACGGCTGCCTTCTCTTTGTTGTGGTTCCCCTTGACTGTTCACTGGTTGGGCGATAGAGCCTACACAGCAATAAAGAAGGTGGCATCACGTTACACTTGGAAGCCTGCAGCCTCGGAAGATCAAGGCTTTATTACAAGGGTGGCGTGGGATAAAGTAACCTTCCCCAGATCAGAAGGGGGCCTGGGCATCCTAGATCCTAGGGATCAGAATATCGCCTTACTGGCGAAATGGGTTATTAAAGCCCTGATGGAGAATACTGAGCAAAAAGGCTGGATTCTGATGGCCGAATATATTTTTAAGAGGGATTGGGAGCTCAGCGATGGTAAGCAGTTGTGGGTTTGCCTAGTGCAAACTGACATGGGGAGGAGAAAAGTAAAGTCTAGAATATGGACCGCTATCCTTAAAGCTTGGTCCAAGATACGCCCCATGCCATTGAACCCCCCGTCCTAATTGCCAACCAATCCTTGTTTGATAACAATTTGATCAAATCTAAAACAGGCACCCCATTTCGCACAGTGGGAGTTGAAGGAGGTAGTTTTGCCAAGACTTGGATAGAAAAAGGCATCCTTCAAGTCAAACATATATGGGACGAGGATAACCAATCATGGATTTCTGTCGAAGGGATAAAAAAAAAACTTCCCCGACTACGGGCGGTTAAAGAGAACCTTGCGGTTATACTGGAAGCATTACCCCGGCAATGGGAGGGGGTGTTGAAACAGGATTCAGAACACAGTGGAGATACATGGTTGATAGATTTATCAGCAGCAAGATTGGAGGAGGTGCTGAGAGTCTTGGGCCCAGACCTCCATCAAGGGATGAGGGTGGAATGCTGGGAGGTTGGTAGGGTAGGGAAGCTGGGGAGGGATGTTTCTTTGGTGAAAGAAAAGACCACTGACACGACAAAACATTTAACAGAAGTGAGAGTTTGGGTGAACAAGGATAGTAAAACTGCTCGACGAGGTACACTCCTGGGAGGGGTAGCAGCTTCTTATAAAGTCGACCCAACTCTCTACGGATGGAAATCCAATACGGGCAAGGAAACTCCGCTCTGCGCATATGTGCCAAGGACCGGTGTAGCAGCCTGCCGATTGAAAAAAGAGCCACCTGTGGATGTGGCTGTAAGGAGATTTCAAAAGATTAAGGGGCCCTCAGAGAAACCTCCAGATTTTCCTTTGTTATGGAGAACCCTGAGGAAAATCCCGTCTCAGAGGCAGGCGAGCTTAATGTGGACTCAGTCCATGCAAGTGACTACCTCAGCATTATGGCTACATACCAGAGGCATGGAATTGAGTATTACTTGTCGTCGATGTAACTGGGGCTGGGAGTCTACAGAGCACCTATGGCTATACTGCCCTCTGACTGACGAGCTTTGGATGTGGTGGAAAACCTTTTGGGAGGCCCAGGTCGGCTCGGACTGGGAGTGGTCAGACGATTGGATACTGTTTGGCATTCCGCCAGATAAGTCAAAGTTACAAGAAGGCTGGGGCTATGTGGCCCTGACCTGCAGAGGCGTAGTGCTGGAAGTAATATGGAAGGCACACAATGCACAGGTTTTCAGAGACGAAAAGGTAAACTCCCAGCAACAAAGGGCTATGGTGAAGTCCATGCTCAGAGTGACTCTTAGGGCCGAATGGAATCAGGCAAGACATCGAGCAGGCCGAGGGAGCTACTGGTTTAAGAAGAATTGGTCACTCAAGGGCGTTTTTTGTAAAATTAGTCCAGAGAATAAACTCTGGCTGACTCCGTGGTTGTGTGACTAAGTTGTAAGTGTAGAGATCGCTTTAGATCTCGCAAGTATTTGTCTAGCTTCTGAGTCACTAGAAAGAGATTTAGATAGGGCTCGGAGGTGAAGGAGCAATAATCAATTATTTTTTTACTGTGCGTCAAGGATGAAATTTTTTGGTAAGCACAGTCGATCTTCTGTTGGGACCCAGGACCTGATTTCCAGGTAGCTTAGGCTTATTTTTTAGCAGCCGTCTTTGGTTGGGGTTCTTAAGCTAAACTGGCTGAGGCTGCCAGGATCTCCCGGGTTGAATTGTGAGGTCCCTGGCCTCGACTTATTGATGTTCTTATGAAGTTTAATGCTTTCCAAAAAAAAAAAAAAAAAAAAAAAAAAAAAAGAAACCGGATAATGCCTGACTGGTTTTTTCGGAGAGCAATCCAGCAGCCTAGCTCAGTTGGTAAGGCTCGCAAGTGGCATTCAGGAGGTCATGGGTTCAATCCCCATTGGCCTCATGACCTTCCTGGGCTTACTTGGCACCCGCTACCCAAGAGATAGACCACTGGATCCCCCGATTGGCATCAAGCAGAGTCTGCTATGTTCGTAGGGGAGGGGCCTGAGGGGAGGCATGGGGGATTGGTTCGCTTTATCCCTGGTGCTACCGGCCGTCCCCTGGCCGGTATCCTGCAGGCTCGAGGGGCCGTAAAGACACGGCTCTGGTATGCTACGGGTTTCCCCGTATGCCTATAAGTAGGAGTAGTGGTAGGTAGATAGTGTGAGGAAAAATTGAGAGAAGAGTATAGTTAAAAAGAAAAAAAGAAAAAAAAAGAAAGGGAGAGCACGAACAACACCTATTTGCTCTATAACTTTCTCAGCCATCTATCTCCCCAGCTTACCTAAAACACTGCTACGGGGTTCCCCGTAATACTATAATGACAATAAAAAAGGCCTGAAAGGCGGTCCTGTCCAGATTTGACAGGTAATTGAATTGGTTCGACTTAGCCTTTGAAAAAAAAAAAAAAACACTGCTAGTCTGTTGAGACCTCTCAGCCCTGTGGCTGTCTGGTCTGAGTGAAATTCTAGCCTCTCAAGACCAACTGTAGGATGGGGAAAATACATGAAAAGAAAGGAAAATAGAAGTGTCTGAATGCTAGTTAATCATGCTTTGTAGTCTCAGCCTGCTCATTTTACATTTTCCTACACAACCAGGGCCCCAAAATCGCCCTCCGTTCCTCATCCAGAGTAACCAGCTGATTATTAAACCACCAGTACTTGGCCCAGCTATCGTTGCCGAGCCTGGAATCCCCCCGCGCGCCAATATTTGCCAAAGCGCCGGGGTTCCGTTTTGAATTTTTTTGGCTGCCGTTTCCAGCCATTGAGGTCCGGTACCCCGAAGCCCGAACTTTGCGTAGCGTTAACGGCAACGGCCCGCGACCGATGTATGGGCCAAGTACTGGTGGTTTAAGAACCACATAGGCCCTTTCCTTTTCCTGTCCACAAGAATTGTGTATCTCATACGTTTCCCAATCAGAGCTTGTTAACTGACCTTTACCTGGAAGTTCTCCATTGAATAGTGCATTGTTCCGTCATCATTGCCAAATGACACTCGTGATTATTCCTCCCCATGTCTGGCCCACATAGCCCCACCCTGAGGCACAGTCCTTCATGTGTGGACTCCTTCCTGTTTGAATCCATTCGTCTGACCATGGAAAGGCATCGGATGAGAATGCTTTCCAATGCTTTCTCCACCATTGCCATATTCTGAGAGAAAAGGGGCACTCGACCCACATGTGCGTGGTTGATTCCCAAGCCCTCCTACATCTGAGGCATGCTCGGGGAACGCCCATTTTCCTGGAGATGAGCCATTCTCCTGAAGGTATGACATCCAGAGTTTGTAACCGAAGTAAACTGGATGTTGCAACCTCAGGATGAGCCTTTTGCTCTGAGCTTGCATCTTCTTGAGGTGTTTCCAGTATCTCAGAAAGTTCTCCTCTTAGATGAGTTGCGGGTACTTGGCCTGCCACCGCTCAACTGCAACCGTTGACGGCTTTCTTTGTGTTTGCTCTCTTTGAATAGATACTCCTGTGCTTGGTTTGTACGCCACCAGAGACCTGAACGAGCCTCTTCCTGTGCTGTCTTTCCGACCTTGTAAGAAGGGTTCCACTGGGTAAGAGAGTGCCTCACTACCCATTGTGCAATGTTCCTTACCTGATTTATCAAATTTGGAGAGAACTCTGACCTCCGTTAAGTCTGTCCAGTCTTGATCTGCTTGGATGCTTGTCTCATGGTCAAACTGCAGTTCCTGATTCTGCGTGGGACCGACCGGTATGGGCCCACTTTTGGACTCTTGTTCCGGTAACCAACTCTGGACCGACCGTTCTCCAGACACAGTCTTGTTCATTTTGTCTGATGAACAGTGTTGCAAGAGTCTGTAATCATTATGGTGGTCTTTTGAGAGCACTTACCCACACCATGGAGATTGCTGATGTTAACTTTCCTAGATTACTGGTCACATTGTTTTTTTTTTTTTTTTTTTTTTTTTGGGTACTGTGGAGCCTTGGTAACTTCAGTTTGAGGCTGTCTGTCGAGAGCCAGTCCAGGTTATCTATGTCCCAAATATCCTTTATCTGAATAACGCCTTTGGCTATCCATGCTGGTTTACCAAAGCTGCCAGAGACGTCCATTGCTGGAAAGGGGGCGGGGGGCGTCTTGAAGTAAGAGGGGATTATCAAAAGCGGTTGGACGAGTACTTCAGATTTCGTGGTAGGAGGGTCTCTAGCAGTGGGCTGAACTTTGGTCCATGCAAATATGAGACTTCTCCACAATTTGGGTTTGGGTTTTCTTTCCGGGCATAGGAAGGAAGTTCTAAGCATCACCAGACATCCGATGGGACGGAGAGATCCCATTCATCAACCAAAATGTATTCCGCAAGTAGTTTCCATGTTTCGTCTTGTGCTTCCATCATTCCTTTCACGGGCCATTTGGCAAGAAGTGCTATATTCTGTGCTTTAGGATCCAAAATACCCAGTTCTCCCTGGTCTCTTCTAGCAGTAATCAGTTTCCATGCAACTTTTGACATAAACCTTGGATCTTCCTCTGCTTTGGGTTTCCATAGGTACCTGGCTGCGGCTCTGCGAATTGACTTGTATGCCTTGTTTCCCAGCAAATGTATGGTACACGGGAACCATAAGATAGAGAAAGCTGCTGACAATAAGACTAGAGCTCTGCCGAATAAAGAAAGAGAGAAACGTTTTTCCCAATTTGTAATTCGGGATACCACTTTAGAGACCAACATCGAGTCTTGAGTTGATGAGGTGTCGGAGAGGGATACTTGGATGCCCGGCAAACGTGTTGAGTTCTGGACTGGAACTTGCTGCATGCCCCAGTTTGAGTCCAATATGAAAGGCAGGGGGAGTAGAAAGACTGATTTATTCCAGTTTATTGAGGCTTCCGATAGGAGGCACTAGGTATCAAAGACCCTGTATAATTCTTCCAAAGAATCTCCTTTGTTTGTGAATGTTACTGGTAGATCATCCGCGATCGCGTTGCATTTCAGATGGATGGTGGTAGATAATCGGAGTCCAATGATTGCATCATTGTACCTAATGTTATCGAGTAGTGTCTCTAGTTGTAGCACAAATAACAGGGGGGCCAAGGGGCAGCCCTGTCTTAGTGAGCGGGGCAGTGGGAATTCGTTTGACAGTCTACCATTCACGTTCAATACGGCTGTTGCTTCTGAGTACATTGTCCGGACCCATGCGCAAAAGGAGTTTCCAAAGTTCATACGCTTCAATGTAGTAGAAACAAATGCCCATCCGACTTTGTCGTATGCTTTTTCCATGTCCAGTAGCATCACCGCAACTTCTCTCTTCTCCTTGCTAATGATTTCAAGCGTTTGGACAGTATGTTTTCAAATATTGATCCCCCTTGAACAAAAGCCCCTTGTTCACTTCCCGTTAACTTAGGTAGGTACCTGGCTAGTCTCATGGCCAGGGCTTTTGCCAGAATTTTGTATGCTACATTGAGTAAAGAAATGGGTCTCCAGTTGCGTATATCTCGTTTATCTCCCTTCTTGTAGAGCAGGGTTATCACTCCTTTGACCCAGCTAGTTGGTATTTTTTTGCTATTGAGAATGTTGTTATAGGCTTGTAGGAGAAAGGGACCTGTGTTCTCCCAAGTAGCTATGAACAATTCCACTGGGAGGCCATCCAGACCGGAGCATTTCCCCGTGGCCATTTGGCCGGCCGCATGTCTAAGTTCCCCTAATGTCAAGGGTCTGACTAGGTCCAACCTGACCCGCGATGTCAGAGTAAGCTTCGAGTGGTCCCAAAAGTCAAAATGTGTGGACAAGTCCGAGTCAAGGGAGTCATTTGGTCTTCGGGTGGTGAGGATGTCTTTAAAATAGTCTACTGCATAGGAACACAAATCGACCGTGGTTGTTGCTATTGGAGCATCTAAAGAGAAGGGGTGGGATAATTCACAAATTAATGGTTTGGTGTTCCTTAACAGGAGCGACCTAAAAGTCATTTTAGTCATGCGATCGAAACCTATAATTCCTTCAATCTCAAGCCATTCCATCCATTGTTCTTGCCATAGAGTCTCTATTCTTTCAAACTCTTGAAGGAGAGTTTTTCTAACCTTTGACCAGTAACAGTCTGTGTATGCATCTTTGCCTAAGTGTGACTCTGCTTCAGTGATCCTTTTCTTAATGTCTTGTTCCTTGAAATTACGGTTGCCGACTATAATTTGAGAGAAGACATCGAACGAGGATTCAATCATTTTCAAACTTGCATCTGCCCATTGTTCTTCCTCTTCGAACAGATCTTTGGTTGTTTGTCACCTTTGCATGTGCTTATTTATTCAATCAATAATTCCCGGATC